GTGCTTATTGGCCATTTGTATCTTTTTTGGAGGAATGTCTATTCAGTCTTTTGCCCCTTTTAAAATTAAGTTTAATGAACAATGGCCATAGGAATTTTTTTTTCATACCATATCCAGATAAATCTTTGGGATGGTTTAGAGAATTATCCAGCTAAGGATTGGGAGAACTTTCTTGAAAATATAAAAATAATGCATGCTTTTTGTCTGAAGATAAGACTCATTTATTTCCGGGGGCACCTGGGTGGCTCGGTCGTTAAGCATCTGCCTTCGGCTCAGGTCATGATCCCGGGGTCCTGGGATCAAGCCCCGCGTCAGGCTCCCTGATCAGCGGGAAACCTGCTTTTCCCTCTCCCACTCCCCCTGCTTGTGTTCCCTCTCTCGCTGTGTCTCTCTCTGTCAAATAAATAAACAAAATCTTAAAAAAAAAAAAGACTCATTTATTTCCATTAAGGTCACCCATCTACAAAATTCCTCTGGCATCAACCAAAAGAAGATCAGCCACTTAAAAATATATAGGCTAATTTATAACTAACTAATGGGTGATAGTTGACTAAAATAATTCTGTAACACATCAGGTAAGTATTACCAGGTGTCAAATGAAGGGCAAGTTCTTGATTGGTAAAGAGATGAGACCTCCTTTTCAGTTTAGATTTCAGCCAAGGGTCAATGGTTTGTTAGTGTACCACTGAAGAATGCTAAAAGTGCTAGCTTGTCCTTAAGTCATGGGAAAAAAAGTTGAGGAATGGGTACTAGAAATCTGAGCAGCCTTCAAGGTGACCCTACAGGCCAGATAGCTTTGCCTTTAACCACAGGATCTTAAAACCTCTCCATCAAAGTCTGTATATTCTGGTGTCACCTTGCTTACCTCACCTAATTTCTCATTCTCTTTCCAAATTATTCTCCTCAACCGGGTTAGCCTGGTTGAGAATTCACCTACTCCTGTAGCAGGTGCATCCCAGAGCATGAGGTGTGCAGTTAATGTGACAGTTTTTCTAATAGTTTCACTTCATTTCAAGCCATTATCCTGAGAGTTTATGAAAACAATTCAGTAAAATCAGAATTTTCTTGTATCCAGGTCCCAGAGGCTTCAGCTGAGTCAAGGCATCAAATAGGAAGCCCATATTACCTTGGAGTCTTCTGTCTGCTAGGTCCTCATCTCCTTCTTTCCCCCAAACCTGGAGAATCATTTTCTAACTCTGGGATGGAGACAGTTTGCTTTCACTCACCCTAGTCCTTTTTTCCATGGTCCTTCCTCTTCTATTAAGAGCCTAAACTTTGGAAAGTCAAAAAGCAGGAGACTTTTTTTCTCTCTGTTCCTACATACTTTTCCCACAGCAAGGCATGCAGACCAGCCTGCTGACCGCATGAGGGAAACGGTGAAGGAGGGCTGGGGTGGAGTGTGTGTAGGGATGAAACAGTGCCAAAAAAATGATCAGTTAATATTTAAAAATGTATTTCACTATACTAACTTCAACCCTTTTCCATCTGATCAGGTTGTTCTTCCTCTTTTTCGCCTATTTTGCTCGACTTTCCCTTCAAGCTTTGGTTTAATTCCTTCCCTCCTCAATGTACTTGTTTATTTTCCTTTACTATAACCCTTATAATTTATATCACACATTTTGATGTTGAATGTCTTATAATTGCTGCAGGGCTGAAAGAAAAGTCATCTTGCCCAAACTCTTGTTCTAGGCTAGCATTTCTAAGGCACCGCCAAGTGTTTGTTTAACCCAGTCATTTTCAAAGTGATTCTCTGGACCAGCAGCATGAAGTGGGAACTTGTTAAAATGCAAATTCTCAAATCTCTCTCTAGATCTATTGAGTCAGAAACTCCGAGGTCGGGTCTAGAATCTGTGCTTTAACAAGCCATCCAGGGGATACTGATAAACACTATTTGAGAACCACTGATTTAACCTACATTAGCCAGTGGAAAGAGGAGTTAGCTAATAGTAGTGATCCCAATGTTTGAATGCCTATTGTCTGTGCTTGAGTACTTCTAAGTGACGGGGCACTCATAACCTCGGAGAGCAGCCCAGTCATCTTTGGAAAACATTGACCTATACTGGTCTGAAATCTATATTGGTCTGATATGTCTTATCAATAGCTAATATTGTTTATATATAGCTTCCTAGAGCCATAGGGAAGAAGTCAAATCTCCCATCTCCACAACAGACTAAAATATCTCAATATTCCATCACTTGCCTCTCCCAGCTCTTCTCTTATCTAGGCTCAAAGTGGCATGAGTTTTGAGTCCCTCAAGCTGTCTTTTTGGCACACTGTTGAACACAATCCCATTTGTTTATAATTCTCTTTAATGAGCTCTGCACAGAATTGAATCCTGTAGTTTAGGGTCTGAAGCTAGAGTGGAGTGGTTATCAATTACTTGCTTCCAATACTATACTCCTAGTACAGTAGGCCAATATGGTCTAAGTTGTTTTGTTTTGTTTTATTTTTTGGTTTTTTGATGGCCACATTGTTAATTCATACAAAGCATATTGTCAGCTGAAATTTTTTGCTGTTCTCTACTCTCATCTTGGTCTGTTTTACAGGTACCAATGCTATATTATATCTCCTCTATACTTTTATACTTGTAGGGGAAGTTCCTCGGATGCAAGTGTATAGTTACGTCTATTATATGTTTTCTGATTAGTTCTTTGATGATTAACTGACACAATTAACTTTTGGAGGAGATATGTATCTCCTATCCCTTGAAGTATGTCCCTGATGGCATAGTAGGTACTCAGTAAATACTTTAGAAATGTGTAATTAATGTACTAATAGAAATTTTCAATGCAAAAGAAGGTCACCTTTTTCTTGAGTTTTATAAAAGGTATTCATTTGACACTAGGTTTATTGCTTCAGGACCTACAACTTATGACTACACATAAAGTAAAAACACCACTTGCTTTCAGTAGCAAACATCTAGAATTTATATATAGTGGTCTTTGAAGTGCCCTATTGGATGATTATATTATCAGTCAGGCTATAATCTGTCAACATAATTTTGTAGTTTTGTTTTTAGAATTACTTCCAGAAGCTACTTTATGAACCACATAAGAAAAGTCATTTTATATTGAATTTTTAAAAATTCAAGTTGGAGTTCTTCATATTGGTACCCACCTGAGCCTCTGGTATCATATTCCAAAACCTGTGTGTGTGTGTGTGTCTATATAAAGTTAGTATCTCACAGAAATTCCAATGAAGACTTTTCAAAAAGGTTTCCAACAAAGGCTGGGAGGTGCAACTAACACAAAATTAGACATATACCCTTGTGTGTTTTCCTCTTACGGTGACTTTGCCTCACATATTTATTGCATCAAATGTCTCCACCCTAACAGTAGAAACAAACAAACAAACAAACAAACAAAAAACAGATTTGGCCTCATAAAACAGAATTGAAAGATTTGTGGATCAAAGTATCCAGGCTCCCTAAAATACTAGAAAATAAAAATATATTCAGTAAATATTATAAAATGTACTCAACTTGGTAAGACTAAGAACTCAATCATCAAGTGGAAAAGACATGAGCTTGCTTATCCCTTATATATAATGTGTGGGAAGAGAACTAATATTTATTTGGTTCCTGGAATATGCCAGTCATTTTATACTGAGTCCACATGAAGTAGAAGAGCCAATTATACCATTTCATAGTAGAGAAAACTGAGGCTTTGAGAGGATAAGTTGCCCAAGGTCACAAATCAGATAAGTAGCAAAATAGGTACCTGGACCCAGATCTTTCAGGCTCTAAATTCTGTTCCCTTTCTACTACATTATATGAGAAATACCAAAACGAAAGATATAGTTTCTGTCCCCATAGAGCTCAGGGAACTTTATGTAAAAATATATAAAGATATGGATTTTTTTTCATTCTCTGTACAAATCAAAGAAGGCCAAGTTAAAATTAAATATTAATTGATTGAACAAAAATAATTTAAAAATGGCAATGTTGAGTTTTTATGAATCGATTAAAATCAAAACTTTTTCTGTAATATGGTTATTGATTTTGAAAGAAATTTAGCAATATAGGGCAAGAACCATACAAATGTTTATACCGTTTTGTATATAGCCATTACCATTAATCTGTTTTTGGAACTTCAGCCTAAATTCTAAATTCAGAAAAATGGAGTAAATGTATTACTGTCTGAGTTGGAAAAAAATCCTCCTGTGTTTCTCCTTTACTCCCACATTATTACTACACTCACAACACTGCTGATACCAGATCTGTGGGTTTTCCACACATAAGTGATTCTGCATTATACCAGCTGCGTGTCCTATGATTCAATTCAATTCTGACACTGTCTACCTAGAGTTAGTGTCAGATTCCATAAGTTAAGTGCTCAGCCCCACAAGACTGCCCCCACTTCAGATGCAAATCACAAGTCCCACGTTGTCACCCAGGCTCCTGACCAGCCCGCTACAAATCAGGGTTCTTATAACTCCTCCTTAGGTTTGAAAATTTGCTAGAATGGCTCATGAAACTCAGAGAAACAGTTTCCTAGTTTATTGTAGAGGATATAATAAAGGGTAGGAGTGAAGAACCAGATGAAGAGATATATAGGACAAGGTTCAGAAAGGTCCCCAGGTGAGGAATTCTGTTCCCATGGGGTTGAGTTACATTACCTCCTGGCATGTTGATATGTTCGCCAACCTAGAAGTTCTCTGAACCCCACACTTTTGGGATTTTTATGGAAGATTCATCATGTACGTGTGATGATCTTTAACTCAGTCTCCAGCCCCTCTCCTATTATTTGGAGAGGGTGTGGGGCTGTAAGTTCTGAGCTTTTAACCATGGCTTGGTCTTTCTGGTGACCAGCCACCATCTTGAAGCTATCCAGGAGACTACTAAGAGTTGTCTCAATAAAACAGAAGATACTCTTATCACCCAGGAAATTCCAAGGGATTTATGAGCTCTGTATCAAGAATGCAGCATCAAAGACCAGCTATTAAAACACCACGCTTCTTCTAGTGCTCTTGTCACTTAGACAATTACAAGGGGTTTTTTTTTTTTAAACAATATTCAAGTTTATTAAACAAATTAAAAAAAAAGTATTATAAAATGTTTAACTGTCATCAGCTTCGAGGTTTATGTTGCTCCCGAATTTTGCATATAACTGAACTTTCAGATCCGCTAACACTCGCTGAATTGATTCCACTCTGGCTTCTAAGGCGTCAATTTCTTCTTGCAAATTTTTCTTTGCTGCTTCTAACATTTCCTGTGTTTCTTCTTGAGAATGGCTAATGAAAACATCACCAATTTGATAAGGTATCATTAAGCAATCATCATCTGCAAGCATGATGTCCTCACAAGCATCTTCTAAATTCTGGAGTTGTTTCTTTTTTACTTCTATTTCCTCCTTCAGCTCTGTAATTCTACTTGTATTCCGTGCAAATTTGTTTATCTTTTGTTGATCTTCAAAAGTAACGTTGACATCTTCTGCAGCCACCTTCTTCATGGTGGCCGCCATCTTGGGACTTGACAATTACAAGGGTTTTAAGAGCTCTGTGCCAGGACCTGGGGGCAGAGACCAATAAATGCATATTTTCTATTATTTTACACTAACAGTATTAAAAAACAGGAAATAATTAGAAACAACCTATATATCCAATTTATTACTTAAATGGTTAGGTAAAAATTTGATGGGTCTATTATGTAACCAGTAACATAATAATTATAACACTATGTAGCATTAAAAAATGCTCATATTGTAATAAAGTCACATTTGAGTATATAACAAATCAATTACTTATGATTTATGTCGTAAGAAACAAAAATATAGTCTAATGATGATGTAAATATGAAATAATGATGTATTATGGTGATGGGATAGTTTTAAAAACTGCATTTTAAAAAATTTTTCTATTCATCTCTATTAATCTCATAATGAAGGGATAAATCTCCAAACTTTCCAGTATTCTTTGCTGTTGCAAGACAAGTCACGCTCTTTGTTTTTCTAAACTTCCAATAAAACTAAGTTTTTGGAAACCAGTTTTATTTATGGGATAATTTTTAATCAAATATTTGTAGCTCAATCTTCAATAGTTGTCAGTAAGGGGAAAATGACACATTTGACATTTAAATATAATTGTCACAGCCTCTCCATTCATTGTGAATCTGTACAACTAAAATTTTGAAGCTTAAAATTATGTCTTCTAAGATTAGTGGTTGAAATTGGGATGCACGTTCAGTCTATAGATTTCCAAAGAAAGTACTTCCTTTCATTGACCCTGGGTGTAGACACAGGATTTAGAGAGCTTGGCTATTGAGATGCAAATTCTCTTTCTGGAGAAGGCTGTTGGGACTTTGTTACACATTTTTAAAAGAAGTATTTTGAAAGAGGAATGGTCCCTTAGCTCTGCTGGGACCTCAGCCTGGGACTTGGTGACTCTCTGGCTGTACATAATGAGGTGGGGGAGCTGAACCAGCATGGATGGCTGGACAGTAGCAAGGAGCTCATGTCAGATGTGGGCAGGCATGAACTCAAGGCCTGGAGAAGGGATAAGTGGGATGTGTGTTTGGTGGGTGGTGGATGGGTTGGAGAGGGTTGGGTGCTAGACAGGGGACAGGGTAGAGTTGGGAACAAAGGCAAAGCCAGGGCAAAGGACAGGGTAGAGTTGGGAACAAAGGCAAAATAAAAGACATGCTCACAGAACCAAAGGGTGCGCACAGACTTGAGCATTAAGCCTCATCAAAGAAAGCAAAGGCAAGAAACAGGAGCCAGGGATGAAGCTGGGCTGAAGGACAGGGGAAGACTGGTGCTGCAAATAGGAGCAAGGGAAGGGAGGTGCCCAGGTGGAATCGAAATTCTTTCCAAATCCAGCTGTCTCTTATTACTACTCACACTCTCCAGGTGCCTGGGTCCAGAGTTCCCCAAAGGAACTCAATAACTTCTGACTAAATGCCAGATGGCTTTCTGGATAAGGTATCTCAACCAACATCCTCCTTGAGGCACTACCACTGTTCCAGTGTCTGTAGCCTGGACTAAAAGTCCTCCTGAATTCTGGGAAGCTCCTTCTCTCAAGAACTACGGCCTACTTAGAAAAGCGGGATTCTTTCATAACTGCCCAGATAAGTGGTCCAGAGTTCAAGTAGTTTCAATGCTATACTTCGTAAAGCATTTCTCATTTCAAACAATCAGGGATAGATTCTCTGATCTTTACAAATGATTTTTAATCTCAGAGGATATATGTGTATACACACACATCTCGTTCCTCATGTAGATATTTATAATATGTATATATCCATATAAATATATAGATATGTATATTTATATAGACATATACACACATACATATTGCTTCTCTTGTTTTTGTTTGAAAAAAGTATTTTATTTTTTAAATACTTTTTTTGGAAATATATTTGACATATAACATCGTGCAAATTTAAGGTGTACATGTTATGATACATTTTTATATTGTAATATTGATTACCGTTGTAGTGATAGTTAACACCTCTATCATATCATATAATTATCTTTGTGTGTGTGTGTGTGTGTGTGGTGTAAGTAACTAAGATCTAGTCTCTTAGCAAGTTTGAATGATGTCTATATTCAGTGTACTGTGTATTAGCTCTCTAGAACTTATTTATCTCTTCTCCCACCCCCAGCTTCTGGCAACCACCATTCTACTCTTTGATTTTTATGAGTTCAGCTTGTTTAGATTCCATATATAAGTGATATCATATAGTATTTATCTCTTTCTGTCTGATTTATGTCACTAAGCAGAATGTCCTCTGGATACATCCATGCTGTTGCAAATGGTAAGATTTCTTTCTGTGGATAGTATTCCATTACACCTAGATAGATAATAGATAGATAGAGGTATATAGAGATGTATATCTCCATTGCATCTCAATTAACATTTTTTGAAAAATGGGCATAAAGAACTGAACTATTAAGATTATGAGGAATAAATGAAATAACACTTGCAAAAATCCTTAGGATGTTATAGAAACATAAATAGTATTATTATCATTTTGGTGGAGTTACCCAATGAGAAGAAATGTTGGAATACTTTACAAGATTAACTGCTATTTAGAAGTGTGTTTCTGGTTTTGGAGATAGTGGCTCTTCTCAGAAATGTGAATGTTTGTATAGTAACAACCATACCTGTTTATGTAGCAATATGGACACGCTTACATTGCAATCAACAAAAAGAATAACAATTGAATAGACGATAGAGGCAAATATTTATGATCTGTGTTCTAAGATACAGTATAAAGATGAAGGAAATGCATGAAATACAGATATATTATGGTGGTGGAATAGGATTCTATTTGGCTGAACTATGACCACCCCTCTTTATGCTCTTGGTATTCAGTGGTTGCTGGTTGGTGTATGTGGGGTGGGGAGAGTGAAAGCATATTTCTACAAGGTGCCAAGAAACTTTTAGGAATAAAAAGGTGAGATCTTCATTCTTCCCTTTTGAGGTTCAATTTTGTTAGAACATCTCTGACCTCATGGGTTAAGGGGATTCCAACCAAAGTAATTAGTCAGAGAAGGAGACCAGATTTCTCCCACCAAGGAAGGAAATCCCTGTGAGAAGGGGAAGGTTCTAGGCTTGTGATACATGTTATATACAAGGACTAAATGGTGATAGGGGAGGGCTGGTTGCGAATTGCTCATCTAACCCTCACAAAAACTCTATAATATAGAAACTGGTGTCACCTTATTTTTCCCACTACAAAATTTAGGCTTAAAAGAGGGTAAGCAGGGCGTCTGGGTGGCTCAGTTGGTTAAGCGACTGCCTTCGGCTCAGATCATGATCCTGGAGTCCCTGGATCGAGTCCCGCATCGGGCTACCTGCTCAGCAGGGAGTCTGCTTCTCCCTCTCCCGCTCCCCCCTCTTGTGCTCTTTCTCTCTCAAATAAATAAAATCTTAAAAAAAAAAAAAAAAGAGGGTAAGCAATTTGCTGCAAGTATGAGTGCTAGGAGGTGACTCAGAGTTGGGGCTGGAACCCCATCTGTCTCGAGGGTCCTCGCATCTCACTGCTGCACTCTCCCTGCTACTGGGATCTTTACATGGCTTTTCTCCTCCTTGGCTGGCAAAATAAAGAGATGCAAGTCAGGGTTAAGGATTAGGACAAATACTTCAGTGAGGAAGGTACTGGTAATTACAGAAAGGGAAGCTAAAAGGGCTTTGAGGTTTCCTGGCCGCCTGCAGGAGGGTGATGATTATCTGATGTAATCCACATTCTTCCCTGACTTTTGGAAATAAAAACCAAGAATTTTCAAGATGATTGCCTAAGATTAAAGGTCATTTTGTGGCCACATAGAGATGTGTTTTTTTTTTTATGCAAACTTGGTCTTTCTGAACCTTAATGATCTCATCTATAAAATAAGAGGGTTGCACTAAGTCATTGTTAAGGTTCTTTTCATGCTGTAATGTTTGTGAGTCCAGGAATTTATAAGCTTTTTCTGGTATTTAACCTTTGCCCTTAGTGTCTTCAGCACTATGATCAAAACTAATGGACTCAATTTAAAGTTTATGTGACAGGTAAGGAAACCAGGATAAAGGACTTAAGGAAGGTTATGAAGCAGGGAATATGGCAGCAAAAGGTTTTACAGCTATGAATTAAATGGAGTTGAAAGGATAGAATTCAGGATCTCAGAAACCAGTGGGTAAAGCAAAAAAGACTGAAGTTCAGACAAGTCTTTCAGAGGATTGATTACATGGAGAAATGGTTAAGATTCGGTCATGCCCTGATGTTAGCAGGCTCTAATTAGATTGGCCAGTTTGAGTTAGAAGAATGGATGAGCCATCACATGGGTATGTTGGCTGTCTGGTTCCCCATCACACGGCCCCAGCTCCATCTCTCTGGAGCTGGTGTAGTTCTGACACCATCACCAACAGTTCTACTCCCAACTGCACAAAGCTTTCTTAGTCTTCATTCAGGTGAACCAGAGAATGGATATTAATTAAGTAAAAGAAGAGTTAAAAAAAACAAACAAACACAAAAACTTAGAGGGGAGCAAACTTTACAGAATATAAATTTCTGATTCTTTGAGAGAGTAACCACCTTCTTGTCCTCTTCTTCCTTCCTTCTTTCTTCTCATTTTCCTTCTCTCTGGTTCATTTCCCTCCCTCTTCATTCTTTCCTTCCATTCCCCCCCCCCCACCCCCCTGCACTTCCTGAATACCATGTTTCATAGTCTGTGCTGGGCACTTTGACCAACACAAGATAGAGGAAATGCAGTTCCAGCTTCTCAGGTTGCTCTCTCAAGCAACAAGGAAGACAGACACAGATAAGGCACTGTGGTAAACCAAACTTAAACGAATCCACCTCAGGTGACTTTCTCTCACCTCCAGCCCTGTCCTGCTGCCCCACCTCACCTCACGTCAGTCAGTCAGCTGGTGTTCTCTCCCCCTCCTCCCCGCCTCCTGTCTGCTCTCAGGATTAGCTGCCTGATGGCTAACAGATTTCCCCTCAATTGCCGGGGCGGTGGGGGGGGGGGACACACACACACACACATAACCTCTTAAATTTCACTGTGCCATATCAAGCAGATTCCAGATGTCTGCTCACTCAACAGCTGGGTCTTCCTCTTCTTTTTTTTTTTTTTTTTTTTAAAGATTTTATTTATTTATTTATTTGACAGAGACAGCGAGAGAGGGAACACAAGCAGGGAGAGGGGGAGAGGGGGAAGCAGGCTTCCCACTGAGCAGGGAGCCCGATGCGGGGCTCGATCCCAGGACCTGGGATCATGACCTGAGCTGAAGACAGATGCTTAACGGCTGAGCCACCCTGGTGCCCCTCTTCTTCCTCTTTTTATTAAGACAGGTTCACAGAGGGTTTTGAAAAATGACTTAGCATTTGCTCTTTTTATTGGTGTTTTTAGGACTTAATTGAGGGCTTACTTTGTGTTAAGTACTTGTACGTTATTTCTAATCCTTGTATTATTACTCCTCCTACTATCATTTCATAGATGAGATAACTCAGAGTGGTTGAGTGACCAGTCAAAAGTGAAACAGCTAGAGATGGAATTTGAACATGGCTAACTCAAAAACCCAAGCTCTTTTCACTACCTCTATGTTTCAGTGACAAAGGCATGTTCTTTTTATTCCTCTCCAGAGGAATTCTACTTCCAGGCTTTCTTGTTTGTTTCAGTTGTTGTTTTGTTTCTTGAACCTACCCACAAGGTAGAGCATATGTTTAAAGCTAGTCTATTAGCCTAAGATACAAATTGGACCCCTTCTAGCTTACACAATGAATATGGGATCTGTTTTTGCCATCAATTATAATCTCTACTATGATATTCAATTAAAAATTTAATAATTAGAAAAATTCCCTGAGTGGAATTATTTTTTAAAGAAATTTTAGAAGATTTATTTATTTATTTGAGAGAGAGAGAGACAGAGGGAGGAGCAGAGGGAGAGAGAATCTTAAGCAGATCCTATGCTGAGTGTGGAGCCTGATGCAGGGCTTGATCTCACGACCCTGAGCTCATGACCTGAGCTGAAACCAAGAGTGGGGCACTTAACTGGCTGAGCCACACAGATGCCCCTGAGTGGAATAATTTTTTAAAGTAAGACCTTTTCCTCTTAAAAATGAATTAAAGCTTATTTATAAAAAAACACATATAGTCTTATATGCATTAAGGTTCATTGTGCAAAACACATGTGGACTTACAGGCATTAACAAAAGCAAAAGGCAATTATAAATGTGCTCTTACTGATTGGTGTTATATACAAATCCAATGTACATTCACTAGACTTGTAGAAGCTGCCAGAAAAAAAAAATCTCACTTTAATATTGTAAAGCTTAAGAGTAACATTGTGAATTTTATAGCTGATTTGGTTCAAAAGACTGTAAGAGAAACCTAATGGATTATTAATTGTTTGTATCTCAGCATTGATTATATCATTCTTGCTGCATTAATATTAATTTGCCATAAGAATATTATGCCAATATACTTCTGTTGTTACACAATAATAATCAATAGGGGAAAATATAGCATTGACTTGAGATGCACTTTAA